ATCTCTCTGGACTGAGGAAATTCAGGCACATGCCTGCGGTAGCTCAGGCTGGAAGCCAGGGGGCACTACAGCAGCCCTCCCTGCCCTTCTACAGAGCTGAACTGAGGGGGGTGTGGACAGGCCCCAGCAGGGCTCTGATTAGGGTGGGGTATGAACCCCCTCCCTGCCTGCAGTCCCAGGTTTTTTCCCACTCGCTGCTCAAAGAGCAGGGGTGTTGCCAGCCTGCAGCCCTAGGCTAGCACTCTGAGGCAAGGGTGGGAGGCAGGGGTGCAGTACATGCATTTGTTGATGATACAGAGTTTTTCGCTGTCCCTCCCTGCTTCTGTATACTGTCTGCAGCAAACTGACAGGCAAGCAAGCTGGGGGGAGGGAGTGGGGAGCTGGTAATGGTGTTTATCACTCTTATCTCATTGTTTATTGCCCCATTAAGAAAACAACAGAAAGACCTTGCCAGCCATCTGTTGATTCAGCGCAGACCCAGCATGTGGTCTGCTGGCTAATACACAGACACCTCAGCAAAGGCAGAGGGGAGGGGGAAATTTTTGCTTAAGGAGAGTGGTGAGGGGGAGGGAGGGGAGCAAACGGCTCTTCTCAAAGTTTCCAAGGAAGGACATTAAGCTACCTGTTGATTAGCTCCAAAAAGCCAGTCTGCCTTTGTCTCCCACAGCATGGACTGTAGCCAGCATGTGGTCTGCTAGCTAATCCAGAAGTGTCTGCTAAAGCAGAGGGTTGAGGGGAATAATCCCTTCTTAGCATGGAGAAACTAGGCAGATGCAGAGGGGAGGGGCCAGCCCTGATGTGGAACAGAGAGCCCTGCCCTGCCCAGCCCAGCCCAGACAGCATGTTGGGTGCTGCGGGTGTCTGGTTTATCTTAAACCAGCAAGGGGTCTGGGGCAGACATTGCATAAACCTGTTTGAGCCAAATCAGTTAACTCTGATACTACATTCAACCAGGCTTATCTCAAACCGGTTTCAGCCATTTTCAAATTGGTTTATGTTCACTGAACATCTGTTCTGTTACAGGTTTAAACCAGTTTCTGATCACTTAAACTGGTTTATGTGTAATGTCTGTGCCTAGTCTGCACGTATAGTTTATCTGCAGAGAACTGTGCTTATGTATCCAAACTGTGCTTATGTATCCAAAGCACAAGACAGGGGCCAGAGATGGCCAGTTAGCTAGAAAACTGTCAGTTAGACATGCAAAGGGAAATTGAATTCTACCCTGAGTGGCTAAAGTGTCATGAGTTGGCTAATAAAATTTTCACCTTAAGGTTTTTGCTTCAAAGTCAGTTGAGAGTAGCATTGACTCCCCCCCCCCCCCCCAAAAAAAAGCGGTCTTTAAAGTTATCTGCACCCTACATGAAATGGATAATCTCCCACCAGTCCTGAGAGGGGGGATGCATTCACAATGCAATTCACAGTGTTCTGACTTGACTTCAGTTTTAAAAGGATGTCTAAACAAGAAGTTTTACGTCTTGACATTCAGTGGGTGCATCTACATATGCACCCACTGCGCAGTTGTTACTGCACAATCATTTAGTACTTACTAAAGCAGTTTCCTGCTGCACAGTCCTGGTGGCACGTGGGTTGTTTCCGACCCTACTGTGCAGTAGCAGTGCTCTGTTGTGCAGTAGTGTAGGCATCACAGTTTGTGCCTGCCAACGGTACATCACTGTTGCGACGAGCTGCAGCAACTTAGTCTCATGTAGATGCACCCAGTGTGTACTGAAACTTTACCATATACTTAAAATAAGTATTTTTGTAGTTGTTTTTGTTTGGCTGTGTGGACGTTCTCTTTTGATAAGATCTTTCATCCAAATTCTCCATTGGATCAGGTAGCAGTTTAGGATGAATTACTCAGTTTAACATGTTTTCCTTTCTGTAATTCTGAAATGAGTAAAAAACACACATTTGGTGAGATGAGGTCCTAGCTTAGGTCCCTGCTCACTTTTAGGCTTCTTAAATGGATTGCCAGTCATTGAGTGTCACCTTTAGTTTTCTGGACTAGAGTTGGACATAGGCTTTTATCTTGCACTTATCACCATTGTGAATCAGGAAATTTTACTGAATTATAATCATCTATTATTAGTTCTCTTTCCTATGGGATTGGGATTTCTTTAAAATAATGATGATAGTCTTTTAATACACATCACAGGCAGGTCCAGGGAGGTGATCCTTCCCTTCTATGCGGCACTGGTCAGGCCACAGTTGGAGTACTGTGTCCAGTTCTGGGCGCCGCACTTCAGGAGGGATGTGGCTAGCATTGAGAGGGTCCAGAGGAGGGCCATTTGCATGGTCAAGGGGCAGTGGGGCAGGCCCTACGAAGAGAGGCTAAAGGGCCTGAACCTCTTCAGGTTCCACAAGAGAAGGCTGAGAGGGGATCTGGTGGCTGTTTACAAACTCACCAGGTGGGGGCCAGCGAGAATTGGGGGAGGCTCTGTTCCCCTGGGCACCGCCTGGGGTTACTAAGAATAATGGCCACAAATTGTTAAGGAGAAGGTTCAGGCTGGACATCAGGAGACATTACTTTACAGTTAGGGCTGCCAGGCTCTGGAATGGGCTCCCAAGGGAGGTGGTGCTCTCTCCTACCTTGGGGGTCTTCAAGACAAGGCTGAACAGGTATTTGGCTGGGGTGATACGACCTCGGCACCCATTCCTGCCCAGGGCAAGGGGTCGGGCCTGATGGTCTGTTTAGGTCCCTTCTGACCCTAAACACTATGAAACTATGTACTGTAAATCATTATCAGTATCCAGCAACACTTCTATCCCACTTTCTTCTCCCAGATTGACTGAAATATTAAAAATGAAAACACTTGCTTTAAAAAGAGCTCACTGCAAAATAGACATTGTGGTAGGTTCTGTTTAGTCCAATGACCGACTCCTTATCGGCTGCATCTTTTATTTAAAGAGCCCTGAGAACTCCCCAAAGATTCTTAGCATCAAATCTTGATTTCTGTTCTAAAAGATAAAGGCTGTGTAAGCCCAGAAGCCTACACTAATGGCTGTTTTATACATTGTGGAAGCAGTTAAGCCAGTTTCAAGCGTGCAGAATAGACAACTCCAAAGATCAGGCCTACAGAAAATGTATAGCATGGGTTCTGCTTAATCAGATGGTTTGAAATATTTTAGATTGGTCTATATGGTCCTAAGCCAGACTGAGGTTCATGCAGATGTGTTTTTATTACACTGGACATCAGAGCCAGGGTCCTGTCATAGTAAAACACATATCAGTCCATGTTCAGAATCTGTCAGGAGGTTAACCAGAAGGTTATTGTCAGGAAATACTCAAGCTAAACCTAATTATTGTTATAAACAATGAAAACACAAAACATTTAAAGGGCAAACAGCTTCATGATGAAAGGTTAAATGCAGAAGTTGGGTTGTCATGGATACAGCATTCCATTTGTTGTATGAGGATAACGCTTTCAAAAGTGACTTAGGAGTATAGGGCCAGTGAAATGACTAGTTCAGTGGCCAGGCAGTTAAATGGGAGGGAGGAGACTTGGATTCTGGTTTCTACTGTGAGGAGTGTTCATGCATCATCTCATGGGGCTGTTTAATGTAAAATCCAATGGAAGTGAAGTGTGAATGTCCCTTTTGACAATTCCTGCCTCTATATCATATTTGTCTAAATACATGATTGTAAATACATGATGTCCACTGAGGTTGTGATATGTAAATAACCCAAGTGAACCCATTTTTATTTTATATGCTTAGTGGGGTTTAGTTTTTTGTAAATTAAAGATGGCAAATTAACATTTTAAAAAAATTTATTTATTGATGGCTACAGGAAACAATTTGAGGAAATGGTGTCCTACTTCAATATGGCTTCAGTGGAAGAACTTGCAGAACACATTGCAAAAGCAACATCAGAAATACGACAGAAAATGTTGAAAGATTTTTATGCAGCAAAGTACCCAGAGTTAGAGAACATTTTTTCAATTGAGGTTCCAGCGTGTGTATCCAAGAGATGTGAGGAAGATGAGGTGTGTTCAGCCCATTCCAGAAAGAGAAAGTCCACTATTAAATTTGGGAAATCATGGTCTAGTGCTTCAGCAGCTGAAGGTCCTCCCCATGGGACTACAGAAATATGTAGCCAAAAAAGAAATAAAGGAGAAGCAGAGCAAGTTCACAATAACTCCTGCATACAAGATGATGTGTGTCTTAATGCCGAATATAAACAATTGCCCACTGTCATTACCCAAGATAGCATCAGTGGCAGAAACAGTCGGGCATTCAAAGATTTTATGGCATCTGGCTCATTAAGCAGTAAATCAGAAATAATTGAGGTGCTGTCTGCAAATGCCACTTGCAGACAGCAAGACTCAGAGGGGACAGTGTCTCCGAGAAAAAGATCCCTGTCTCAGTCAGAAAACGGTGAGAAACTCTTCTGCAAGAAAAACTCTTTTGTAGACTTACTGGGAGACACCTCTATTCTCAGTGACCTCTTCAAAAGTGATGGAAATAGGCCTACACAGCTGCCAAGAAGATTCCCTTCAGAGCCTGCATCGAAAGCAAAAGAACGACCAAAAGACTTCTGGGATATGCTGAATGAGGAGAATGATGAGAGCATCGGGAAGCTGACAGATGTGGCAGTCATCGAGGAGCTGTGTGAGAGAGCGCCTCTTGTTGCTTTGACAAAAAAGGAAGAGGAAGCATGTGAAAATTCTCTTTGGAAAAAGAATGAGAATTTTCTGTGGAAAAAATCTAATGCAACTGAACCTGTGCCTGGCACATCTCTCGATGCATAGATATGTACATTTATCTTGCATCTTGGGCACCAAGCTAATCAGTCGCAAAGTGATTAAGAATATTCACTGGTATTAGTAGCATAAATTATCAGACAATTTTCAGATTTATTGTGCTCCAGTCTTAGTGCCCTTGGGACATAGTGTAAGATAGTCCAAGATAGTATGTTTCTCTGTAATGAACAAGGCAGAGATTGCAATATGGTTTTAGTAATTCAGTGTATTTTTAAAACTTGATCTTATAAATTTAGAATCATAAGGAAGTAGGGCTGGACTGGACCACCAGAGGTCATCTAGTCCAACCCTGTCCTTGAGGCAGGATCATTTCTCTCTCAACCATCCTAGGCCAGTTTTGTCTAGCCTTATTATGCATGTACAGGGAATAAATGGAAGGAGTGGCAAGTTGCAGGACTATTACAATGGATGCGGAGATAAGGTGCAAACTTTCCCCTTACGACTTCAACTTTGGTAGGACTTGAGAAGAATTACACTAGTATTGCTGCTGTGATCATTTGAGTCTAAAGTATAACAAGAAAGATCAGGAATGGGCAAAATACAGCCCATGAGCTGGATCTGGTCCGCAGAGCAAATTTTACCCAGCCCACGGTGGGTCCTTCAGCCCTGCTGCGCGGTGTTGGGGCACCCCTGTCCTATGCCATCCTGCAGCTCGCCCTGAGATGCGTGCCCAGCAGTGATAGCCCCCAGCTCTGCCGGCTTGGTGTGGGGTGCAGACAGAGCAGAGTGATGGAGCAGCGGGATCTCCATTAAAGGCGCTGTATCCAGAGCTGGGGCTGGAGGCTGGTCTCCATGGACCGCACACAGCCAGGCAGGGAACTGCATCCCTGAACACAGCTCCCTGCACCGTCGCACACCATCTCCATGGAGAGCAGCCCTGGATGCAGCTCCCCATCCAGCAGCACAGAGTCTCTGTGGAAACCAGCCTCAGATGCAGTGCCCTCACTGGGGCGCCCATCACTGCCACTGATCCCGTGCCAGTATGCCACATACCGAGATGGCAGAGCTGGGAACTGATGCCACCACACAGGCATCCTGAGGCAAGCTGCAGACTGGCATGAGATGGGGGTGCCCCAGCACCTCCCCTAACTCCAGCCCGGTCCTGGCCGCTGCTTCCAAGTGGCAGGGTGTGGAGTCGCCGCTGGGTCCATCCTCCTCCCTCCACTGCCTGTGGGCTGTGTACCCTGGGTGGGGGGAGGGGAGGAGGGAAGGAAGTTAAGTTTCCCATCACTCGGGCTCAGTGGTGATGCATGGCTGTTCCCTGCCCCTGCCTTACTCCCAAGCTTCCTCCGCAGCCTTCCTCTCCCCCCCAGTTGTGGTCTTTCAATGAGGCCCGGTGGTGGCTTCCAGCTTTGCCCCAGCTGCACTCTGGCACTACTCCATGATCCCAGCCCCAGATGTGCCTCCAGGGAGCCACACAGGCAGGGTGTGCGGGCAGGTGGGGAGCTGCATCCAGGGCCGAGGCTGGGATCGCGGGGCTGGGATGGGGCAGAGCTGTGATCCACTCTCTGCATGCCCCTGCTCATGGAACCTATGCAGCTTGGTTCTGATCTGGCCCCAGCCCCATGCCATTACCACCCCGCAGCCCCACCCTGTGGTCCTGGCCTTGCCCGCCTGTCCCACTCCTGAATACCGCTGCCTGGGGCCGCATCCCACATAGGGGATTTTGATGAGTTATTGCACGGAGTGAGGAGAGGAGGGGAGGGGGTGACCCAGCCCACGACAGCTTACCAAAACAGCCTGTGTGGCCCTTGGGCCCCAGTAATTGTCCACCCCTCAGAAAGATGTTTCCTGAGTAGCACAATGCCACAGGGCATGAGTTATGGATCACTGTTTATGCCGATATGAAACTAAAATAGCGGTGTCTTCATAACTACTGCAATATACAACTTTAATTGCACATTAGCTGTGTTGTATCCTACTGTGATGCATTTTAAATGTAACTGTTTAATGACATGAATTGCTATTTGATGCCAGTGTG